TGTATGAGATTGAAAATTGTCCAATACATCAAATCTTCGCTGTTCAGCGTTAAACCATGTATACGATTTATTGCCTAACTATTCCATAACTATCTTATTGAACAAACAAAACATTGGTTAAATGTCACATGACGTATAAAGATATACGTGTAAAGAATCATTTGTATAGAAATTATAAAAAGCAATTTAAAGCGAGATTTCACGCATGATAATTCTGAAACACTTTCCAATTTTTGCTTTCTAGAATATACATCTTTTCGAGAATGTGAATTATGGAAAGCAGCATTCGGAAGATTTTTTAAAAAATTTCATTTTCTAGTTCAGGATCTTAAAATTTTTGTTTGCACGTGGAATAAAAGGTCATTTTGAGAAATCTGTTCTGTTAGACGCATCATATATCATCTTTTCGAGAATGCTTCGCGATTACGTTTCATGGAACAATGGAATTACATGCAATATGATATACGGAGATTATTTTAACTTTCATCCTATAATTTGGACGTTTAAGAGAAAACGTGAAAATTCATGGGAGCGACTTATCAAAGTTCGTATGACATGGAAGAAAACAGGTTTTCTTAGAAGTCCGATAAGCCGTGACTACCAATCGATTGCCAGGTTTGCATATTTCTGTTTAATCCGGAATGATAAGGTATTGCTCGCTTCGGCAATTTCCTTGATTGCATCCAGCACATAATTGAGCATTTCCTTGGAATGAGCAGCACTAAGGCAAATTCTTACTCGACTCTCAGTCATATGTGTCGCTGGGAACGAAACAACTACAACTCCCACACGCCGATTTAACATTTCGCGACCCCAAAACCTGAAGAATGTGTGTCTCAGAATGAGAATAGTTTTTCCATATGAAAATTTGCAAGGAAACAAACATTTTAAAACATCATACACTAATAATAATGAATGGCAATAAACACGGAAATAATTGAATCCGTCTATAAATGCTTCTATTTAAAAATGGATTTGAAAATCCAATCATGTCTCAAGAATCATCCAGAAATCATTGAAAATAGAAATTTATGGCTTTTTCATATAGTGGTTCATGAAACTTTTCAAATTTTCTTTACAGTTGATTATGAAATTTAATTTCCAACCCGCATTTCGTAGGATAATAAAGCATAATTGGAACAACGGGACTATCATCAGATCCACATACAATGCAACCCATACGTTTCAGACGTTTTCGAAAATAATGCGTGTTACGCCGCAAATTCTGCCTGCGCATTTCACCTACAATAAATCAAAGATTTAGCTTTTCAGAGAATTTAGATGAATGAAAAACAGTAGTTCATTCATAACGGTTTGAAAGCTATTAGCGATGGTGATTTCTGCTTCATTACCATATGCGAAATTTTTCTTCACAAGCTCCAAGCACTGGAAAGTTTAGTATTTTACATCCATATGAGTAGGTTTGAGGCCCAACAAAGAAGTTATCACTGAAAACGTGAGTAAATTTCCTTATAGTTAGTTTTCAAGAAAATTGATTTCGATGATTGATTGTTACATATAAGTATCTAACTATGAAAGAACAGTATACTTATACATGTTTAGCAAGTATTAAGCATTCATATAACGCTTACCATCATTAGAACCATCAAGACCCATCATAATTTTCATTGATGATATGATTTGCTGCGCAATAGGAGGTGACATTGCAAGTGCATAGATAGTTGCGGCCGAATTTGCTCTTATATAATTTATAAGTCGCTGAAAAAAACCACTTTTGACATTTCCATAGTGCACTTCACGAATATGGAGAGAAAGATGAAACAATGAATACAGCGCTTATAAAAATGATAAAATTTACGGAAATTAAGTACATACAATCATAAATTTTTTCATATCGAAGTTATGGTAATTCATTGATTTACTTCTTCCCAAATACAAATAAATTGCTAAAAAGCCTTAAAGCAAGAAAATAAAACAATCTATGTGAAACAAAGTGTATACTTTCACATATCAATGATATATACTTACTTTGTTGCCTGCAATGTAACCGCCAGCTGCACTAAAACTTTTAGTGAATGTTCCCATAAGGACATCAACATCGTGTGGATCACAGCCCCAATAATCGACAATCCCACGTCCATGTGGGCCCATTGCTCCTATGTGGATTAAAATACATAAATAAAATACACAAAGAATTCAGAAACTGCAGAGTTGCAAAAGCGATGAATAAAAAAATCTATAGAAGATATGTTGCAATTTCAAATTAAATTAATAGAATTATTTTAAAAAGGAAGTAAATCTATTCCGGCTAATTTCGCTTCTAGAAATAAGAGAAAAAACGATGCAAGGACAAGATATACTGAAAATTAATTAAGTAAAATCTACCAATAGAATGCGCTTCGTCAAGATATATATAAGCACCGTATTTCTTCTTTAACGCAATAATGGCTGGCAAATTACATATTGAACCCTCCATGGAATATATTCCTTCCACAATGATTAAAATCTTTGTGAATGGTTTCTTCGTCTTCGGATTACCATAAACAATTGCATTGCAAATAATTTTCTCCAAATCTACCATATCTGCAATGAAAAAAGGATCCATAAATTAATGCAGCAATGATAATTTACCTGTTACTAAATCTTTGAAATAGAGATGATTAATCAAAAATAAAAATTACAATTAAATTTGTTGTGAATTTAGACGAGATGAACCAACAATTAATTTGTTTTCCTCATATTTGTCTGCTCAAAAAACTAGGAATGAAAATTCGTTATAAAACGCTTTCTATATCATCTTTGAAAAGATTGAAAAAATGCCCGAAATATCAAATTTCTTGAAATTTAATAAGGATATGAATCAGACAAAAAGATGAACTGTAACACATTATTTCACTGATTATGGAATTTGTAGATAAAAATGTTCATCTTTTTCATTTCGAAAAACTACCGTCGTGTTTGAAGATACGGATTGTTGCTCCAGACATTCGACTGCCAAGAATAAGTGATGCATGGTTGAACTGATCACTAATTATGATTGAATTCTGTAATTAATAATAACATTCATAAAAAAATTCAATCTGGAACTTCATTAAATATATTACATCCAGAGGCTAAATAAAGTTAAGCAGTTAAACAAGTGGAATAACTCAACATAAAAAACAGAATTACTTCATCAGCTAAACATGGTGTATTCAGAGAATTAGTAGCAAAACCCATACTGAAACATATAGCATCATCAACACCTATAAATTCTGCTACCAGCTTTTCCAGGTCATGCTGTGCTTTTGAAAATCCTAAATAAATTTATTATCACTTCTAACATCACAAAATTATTATTCAGGTATGATCCATCAGTTATAACGTTTTCTATCCGTATCATTCAGATAGCAATTATAACAATGAGTTCTTAAAATCAAGTCATTTTAATTTTGAAGTGAAAAATATATTTTACAAATATGAAAATGTTGCTCTGGAGCACATGAATAGCTCGAATGAAATATGTTGCTTATTTAACGTGTAAAACTTAAGAGTAATATTAAAAGACGAAACATTTTAGAATAAATAGCCTTACTATATAATAATTAATCTCGACAGGATTGCACATTCTTGTAAATTTTAGTGCATGAAATATATTCATGTGAAAATATTACGTAACTTGCAGAACCAAGTCTTCAGATAATCATATTGAAGAATCTGAACGCTAATTAAAGAGGAAATAGTGAATTACGGAGAGAATAAAAATATAGAGATATTACCTAATTGTTGAATGGAGCAACATGTGGATAATCCTTGCTCATCGATAACTGCTGCTACTTCTTTTCCACACAAACCGTCGGTTTCAGCAAATCCCATATAGTTATACGATCCAACATTGATAACTTCTGTTTCAGTTCCTGCGTACCTAATAAATTTGAAACGTTAATTAAATGATCAACCAATTCATGTTATCAATTTTGTCCAAAAATACAATTTATTTTTTTTAAATTAATAGAGTATCTTCTTACCCGAAAAAAAATCTTCATCCTCACTAAGATGAAAACCTTTTTTAGATAAGGACATTCCTAAAAAGCATAAAAACTAACTTATAAGTCCAGTTGTAATCTTCCGAACTCCGATCCAGAAGTTTTACAGTTGCTCCAGGAACACTGCTGATTGGTCGTTCAAAAACATCCCGCACACGCATGTAGCAATTTCGTTCGTAAATGGCTTCAAATTCTGAGAAAAGTGGCACAAAATCCTGAAATGATCGAAATTTTTGGAAGGAAATAACATGGATGGAAGGGAAACCTTTTATTTAACACTCTATCCTCTACCAAATATATCAATTGAATTCGAAAAACCAAGCTAACTTTCTGTTCTGGTCTTTCAACAGCTGCAAAATTCTTTTCGATGCCATGGTTTCGAAGCAATTCTCGAAAGAATGCGAAAATCATCAAAACAGTCCAACAAAAGTACACAGAGAGTGAGGTAATGAAGCTTTTCTGGAAAAAAGAAGCGCATTTGATTTTGAAACTTCAAAAATGCATCGGAACTTTTATGTTGATATATTACTCTAACATTAAGATTGAAATGTAAACACATTATTATGACAAATTTATCATCAAATATTAGCGCCAAAATATCAAAGTATTAATCACAAAAAAGAAAATGATTAAGATTAGTACAGTATTGCAGAAGTGTTATTGCAGAAATATCGCTACTGAAGTGAGCAACACTATTTTTAAATAACAAATTATTAAGCAAACTATTTACTATTATTAAAAATGATATTTTTACAGATTAATAAAGTTATTCCAAGTATTTCAAATTTAAAGCGAGTAGTGCAAAATAGAAGACTTATAGAATTTTGTAATTTGATAAAGAACATTAATACTATGCTATTTGCTCAATTTAACTAAGACATTTGGATTAGAAGTATATTTTTACCAACTGAAACCAACATTTAAAAAAAAAAAATTATGCTGCTTCTTAGTAAATAGTTTTATACATTCGGAGCTATATGAGAATCTCAAAAAAAAAGAATCTCTTCAAAAAATTTTAAAGTTACAAGAATGATGAACTTACCTGTTCGAATTCATTCCTGCTTCCAAATCTTTCTCCAAACTTCGATTTAACAAACTCATTCTGAAATTCCTTTCCAAGAATTCTGTTATATATAAAATTTGATAATTGCAAGGAATATTAATATTGTCCAGACACGACAGCTGTTGAATGTTGATCCCTAGGAAGACAGAAATTCACGATGATTGCTACTTAAATCACTTCAACGATTAACCGAACCATCCGTTGATTATTTTGCTACCACTAATTACCTTCAACAATTATTTCAGAAAAAAAAAAATACGTTCCTTCTCGTATTGTCGAATACGACGAAAAAGGACTCTTCCCGTAATTGAGTACAAATAAAATTAACAACATTTTTTAGAAGGATAATATTTTTGAATTTGAATTAATATTGAAAACTGCATGCTCTTCAACAATCTAATTGTAAAACACACCTGTTGTTGTGCTTCAGTTGATACATTACAGTTAGATTCTTTTTCACATCCGTTAATATTCAACGAATATTCTACGATATCATTAATGGTGTGACGATACCTGTATATACGGCATGATGAAAGTTATTCCATTTTAAAATACAAAAATAAAATAATGCAATGGGGATAATTAATTATTAATTGGCAACCATTATTTAATAATGTCAAGAAATAAACTTTTAACGCTTAAAATGTTTAGTTTTTTCGAATTTTAAAAAACTTTTGAAAAAAAAACATTCATTGGAATCAAAACCCTGCAAATGTTAACAATAACGTGGAATTGAAAAGAATTATCATTATTATCATTAACAATGATAACGGTAACGCCATATGCAGTGATCAATATGTAAAAAAAAGAGAAGAAAGGCAAGAGAAATAAAAATAATATTTAAAAAAAGAAAAGAATATTCTGTTTTAATTTTTTTTCTGCTATTGCTTCTTTTTTTTAAATATTCCGAGAAAGCAATAAAAATGAAAGAATTCGCTATGTAATTTAATGATGGAAAAATTAAACTTTAGAAAAAATGTACCTCCCAGAAGGCGATTCCATAAAGGCATCAGTAGTGGAACTCGTTACTGTCAACTGATGATGGGCCAAGTTTGAAGTTTGTAATACCAATGGACAAATGTCAAATGATATCTTCTGCAATGATTCCGATACATCTGAACATTCCTGACCACTTACCCGTAATGAATCCATCCCAACCGTCTCATCCATTCCAATCGAATTGACCTTCTGAAATGCATACATGAAATTACTAATTCAAATTAATTTCATGGTGATAATCCCGGCAAGCACATACAATGATCATTTCAAAAATTCATTTTACAATTGGTGATTCGAAAGGACTTTCAATGTATTGCGATGATAATACCATTCGAAAATGTATCATGGTATAGTGATTATCACGATCAACAAGATGTCACATCATTGAAAGTATCAGGAAATTAAAACCGTTGGAAGATCAAGCCAAAAATTCGGAATGAGATGATAATGGAAGTTAAAGATCCGGAACATACGGAGATCTATAGGAAAGAGTAATTAAATAAATAAAAACATCAAATTAAAAAAAAGGAGAAAAATATGCAAGAGCTACAAAAGTTTTTTTTAATTTATCAACTCTTCGAATCTTTTTTAAATCAGTTACTTCTGATTTTTTTTATCTTACCAGTTTCCGATTCAAATCTTTTTAACTTTTTCACTATATTTAACGCTTTAACGTTTTTAAATTCTCATTTCAAATATATAACAAGTTTCAAAATAAGAAAATTTTATATGCACTATCACGTACATTAATGTGTACAACAACCTTTGCTACCTTGACACGTACGTTAATTGATATGGAAATACTAAATAAAAAATAGAAAGTATAGTTTGATAACTAATCGAGCAGTTACAAATTTCCATCCATAGTACTATGATGCGTCTAAAGGTCATCAAATACTTCATTGTTTCAAATTCGAAGTTTGTATAATGGCAGACAGACACACATATATATATGTAAAAGATAACATGGAAGAGAGCGATACAATCATATGGATAGTACAGAAATAATGTATACGATGGAGACACACAAGAAAAACAGAGAAGTTACGTGGGTATTTTTTGCACTAGGAATTGGTGACAACCTTGATTGTTTACCTTTGGCTTTTGAGCAGGAAATTTTGAGGGGAAGGAGAGAGAGTAAGAGAGAGCTATGTCGTCAACTACATTATCAACGGTATCATTGTACAACTACGTATAAAAACATGAGTAATTTGCTAATAAATCTAGTGAGAAGAGAGAGAGAGAGAGAGAGAGAGAGAGAAGAGAGAGAGAGAAGAGAGAGAGAGAAGAGAGAGAAAAAGAGAACGAGAGAGGGAAGTGTAACGATGACGATTTTTTTTATTACAAAAGAAATGCGGGTCGATACTTCCCATTCGCTTTTTCTCAGTTTTTTTTTTTTTAACGATGGGGTGAGTGAAAAGATTGATTTGGAATGATATATATGAGATTGAATAATTAATTAATGATGGGGTGTGTTATCCTGTGATTACTTGATGATGTCACTTTCGATAGCTATTTCGATTTCGAGATTCTTCATCTGAGCAGTAAATGGAAGCTCTTTGCACTCGAATAATAAAATTTCTCGATGGATTGCGGTGCAGTAAATCAAAAACAGTAAAGACAACAGTAATGAATATCAATAACAAAGGATAGCGAACTTTATCATTAATAACATTGAAAGTTTGCAGTTAACCGAAATTTGACTGTCGCATCTCATCTTTTTCTCTCTCGATATATTCCGGTAGATATAACGTAACAATTCGCTTACCGGAATTTAGAAATCCAGGTTATGGTATGCCATATCCAGGTTATGGTATGCCATATCCAGGTTATGGTATGACATATCTATATCCAGATTATGGTATGCCATGTCCAGATTATGATATGCCATATTCAGGCTATGGTATGACATTTCCAAGTTATGGTATGATATATCCGGGTTATGGTATGACATACTCATGTTATGGTACAGGTTATGTATGCATATTTTCGAATGAATTCTGTTGGAAATCGAGCACAATTCCGTTAACCGTTAATATAACAGTTTGAATTTCTTCCGGTATAAATGTTAATTTCAGCGATTCATTCAATCACTCGTGATATCATCGAAAATTTTTCCAAGATATATGTTTGAATCAAATATCTAGCAATTACATTTATCTATATCTCTTTTTTTTGACGGTCAAAAGAACGACTGATTCTGTGACAAGCAATAAGATAATTCGGTTACATGTGACAGTATCTTTTCAGCATAATGAATGGGAATCAAATTGATACGAAATTTTGAATGTAAAATTTAAATTTTGAATTGGCTATGCAAAGGGAATCATCGATCCGACATGATGCGTGGAACATTACACTTCTCGTGTTATAAAAGATTTTTGGCACTGATAAAAGAAATGTACAATCAAATACAATAATATATGCATGGCAAAGATAGAAGAAATGCGGTTGCATGTACGCTGTATTGATAAGCAAAGGTTATGATGTCATGAAACAGATGCGTAATGTCGGGGAAGGAATTTGGCTGAAATGAATAGATAAGAATTTATGGCTATCATGGTATCAGGTAATAGGCCAGATGAATTTTAAAGTCATGATAATTAAAATAGAATCATAATAAAAATAAGATTTATGAGGACGATAGCGCATTGCTTATATAATTAATTACATAATTAGTTTAACGACACAAATTAAATTTAAATTTTGCAATGAATTATTACTTGAATAATTCGATAATTCGATTCATTGATAGCATGTTATTTATTTCTCGTGGTATTAATGTAGTTTGTTGGAAACTCCTATATGAGCATTCCCTTCACGTGAATTCATGATAAGTGACGCTTACGTTGTTTGTTTTTGATTTCTATGCTATAACATTTAATCAATTTATTCGTGATTATCAGAGAAAGAAATATAACACAATGTGGATGTCAAAAGTCAACAACAGAAAGGCATAACCTTGAAGTTTCTTCGCCACATTTTACTAATTAAATGCAAAACAAACGGCACATAATTAGGCGAAAAATTCTTGGCAACTTAATTAATTTAATTTGATCTTTAGTAAATTTAACCGAACCGTTCCTTTTTACTACAACATTTTATCTCTCCCTTAATTGTAATTTTTAACACATTCAATTCAAAACCCGAAAACTTGTTTCTTTTTGTTACAAATAAAATTTTGCTTGGTAGCAAGGAAAATAAAGAGAATTTAAAATGAAACTTCAACAGTTAAAAGAAAGATATAAAAAATCACAAAGTGAAAAATATCACTGATTAAGGCTAACATAAAACAGAATTAAAGCAAACATAAAATTCATAACCAAAGATTTACCACGGAAAAAAATTATGTGCAAAAAAAAAGCCTTACCGACAACAAATCCATCACTGGAATTAATGCATTTGAAATTCTTTGGCTTCTTCTTAGTCTTCATCCCAAAGACAATTTAAAGTTGCAATTTATGTATGCTATTGACTGCTATTTAGAGATTTATATTTATATTTAATTGAAACAGTTTATTCTATTTTTGAGCTGAGAAAGTTATGGCAAATCTCACTTTGTCTTTTATGCCAATTATTAAAAATTATTGGAATTCAGTTGCCTAATAGTGATTTAAAAATAATTTGAATTTACAACAATGTGGCTAATATCCATGTTTTAAGAAATCAGTTTTCTTTGTAATTTATAAAATTAAATGTTTGATATGAAAAAAAGCTAAATCACCCAATTTGCAACAAAGTTCGAACGTTCCTTATATGATTTTCTTGATTTTAAATTCAAATTATGAATTAACCCGATTTTAGAATGATAAAAAAAAATTTATAAGTGAAAATCAGAGATCATCGACAACATAGTAAAACATTTAACAATTCCAATATCAGTTCATATATCTTCAGCTTTTTCGTTTTGTTGATTTTCTGGTATCAGCGGAAGTAATATTGAATTTGGTTCCGCATTAACTTTTAATTCCCGAGTCGGTTTTCGTAAACGAATAAATTTCTCTTTTACGGTTGCATCATTTGAAGAGGAATCAACTCGGAATAAATTACTCGCATTCTCTTTATAATCATCCATTGATCCACGACTTTCAGAAAGCTAAATAATTGGAATTAGTGAAAATAAAAGTCTGAAAATCCTATCAATATTGAAATCTTTCAGTTGAAAAACTTATCATAAAACTGCACAATATAAACCTATCGCATATTCTTAATCACATTTTTTTTTTCGTTTTTTATTGAGAAATTTTAATGGAAAAGATGATTTTAGAGAATTTTCTTACGGAACAAATACAGAAAAATAAATAATTCGGAAGAGAGAGAGAGAGAGAGAATTTCGAAAATGTTGGTGAAGTGATAAAAGATACCTTTTCTTCAACTTCATAAAAAGCATTCCAAAGTGATAGTATCAGATCGGTGCAGAATAATACACCGGCATGAATCTCAACCATTCGCAACACAAACAAACCATCACATCGTAGGTAACTTCTCACAAATCGATCCACTTCCTTTGTTTTAGCTAAAATTTACTTTTTTAAAAAAAGGAACCTAACAACAGTCATCATAATTATTCAAAAATCAATTGAATTAAAATGTATAATTGGTATCCTCTCGATATCAAACTAATTATTTCGATTAAAATTTGATTGATAAACGATTTCTAGACATGTCATGATAGTTTACTCATTTAATTCATTATTTTAAATTATAAAGAATATGAGGGATCGTTTATGTATTGATTTTTCAAAAACACTCACTTCAGTCATTTTTTTTTCTTGTTTTAAAAAAACTTTATCAGAAAAGACAATAAATTAACATCTGAAAAAAAAATTTTGAATTTCAACTATCGAATAATATTAAAGTTTAGGAAGGCTTAAAAAGATAATTTAATGATGTTTTAACTAGCAAAGCACTTACTATCGGGATCAAATTTCATTTCAGATAATTCCAAACTTTGTGAAATGAACCAACGACCAAAACATGGACATGTAAGAACGATGAACCAATAAAATAATGACAAAGTAGTACAGAGGACAAGAAATAAATACCAGAACCAAAGAAAAACAAATATTTTTTCATTGAACATATTGATAACCAAAACACATTGGACGGAATATCGCTGAATGTTACCCACTTGGCGAACCTAAAAAAAATTCGAAATTTGATTAAATCCTGAAATGAAACTCTCTTTTCTTAGAATTTTAAAATTGCTTCATATCTTTTATCTCCCTTTTTTCTCTAATAAAATCAGAAAGAAAAACAAAAACAAATCTTGAAAAATATCAACCTTATCAGTTATCTGCTGATAAGATTGATATGTATATATGTACTGACCGTGAAATCACATACTGAAATACGGGGAAAATAGCCAGATGTTGTCCATTCGGTACCATTTGTGATGTCTCTAATTACATCGAAACCGTACCAGCTATTTGCATTTGTTCGCAGAAATCTATTAATTCATCGTAAAAATTGATCAAATTTTTAGTAGACAAAAAAAGCTTTTTCTTTGAATTCATTGAAATATAATCAAATATTCAACTGAATTACTGTAAGAAATCAATACCAAATTGAATGAAAAGAAATTATAATATAGTTGCATATTTAATTATATTTTAATTTTATGTAATTTTAGCATAAATACTTCCAACTTCATGTCAATAGAAAGAATATTGCTTACAATATTGGATTAAGTAAGACTTTATTTTTTTGAATACCAAAAACCCTGTCAAGCCAGTAAATGAATGTAAAATAAACTTTTGTTGGCCAGGAAAAGAAGAAAAAAATATTTTACTTGTTGAGTATGCAAAGCTGTAGAATTGCATTTGCAAGATATAATATTTTGGTAATCAAATACATCAGTGATATAAAAAATGCCGTATATCGAATATTTAAAAATTTTAATCGTTTATGAACTTCAATTTTTCGCCTATAAAAATTTGATGAAATTGCTGAAATGGAAATAATCCAGCTTAAAAAAGAAAAAAATTTGAAGATCAAGTGTTAACAGAACTTCAAAATTCTCCGATGGAATTTCAATGCATTTTGCATATGACGTGTTAAAGTTTCAATATTTCGACTTCTGATATTTTCATCAAGATTTGATGGATCCATTGCTTTCTCGACTATTTCATGAATTCGTATTCCTGAAATTAAGAAGAAAACCAAATGTTTTCTTAGACAAACAAGTGATCTCATTCCAAAAGAATCAACAAATTGTATCATCCATTATTATATAAAGCCGAAAAAAGAAAATCAAAAGTTACCTGAACTAAAAGATAAGTAATTCCAAAACACACTCGGCAATCGGAAGCATGCAGCTTGCAGAAGTAAAAAGAATGGTACCCATTTGTAGTAAGATAATTGTCGTTCCGGCGTGTATCTTTCTTCCTGTTTTAATGTTGCTACGTGAACATCCGGTTGTACATAATATGTATCACGTGACCAACAATAATTTTCTGCATACTGAATTAAGAATAATATAGGAATGGCATTAGTTTTTAAAATTTATTAAAATTTCCATATTCCGAGAATTCTAATTTCCTAAATTTAGCAGATTAGTATAATAACTGATTAACAGTCATTATTAGTATAGACAAAAGATGTACTGCACTGAAAGAACGTATCAATTCATTAAATTAAATCTTTTTATACAATAATTTCCAACTTAAATTTATTATTCTATCATTATTGATTGCTTCTTCTACTTAACAAAGTGAAGTTTAGAAAATTTTAAGATGCATTTTTTAATTCCAAAAAAGGCACTTGTTCCCATGATCCAGGAAATTTGTTAGGAAACATGCATTCCAACGGTCGACCACCAAACTGCTTGAAACTTATCAATACAGCAAATGCAAGTAGAATATTACTGCTATAAAGGTAATGCAACCGATCGGTAGCATCATCGTCCTCTTTCGGTGATAAATACCGAATCATAGAAATTAGTGATTCGATCATCATCTATTAGTATATATATATATATATATATCTGTCTTATTATTTTACCAAAAAATTAGAAGCGTTAGCGATCGTAATCGATAACTAAAAATTTTTAATATATTTGAGCTTTTGTATTAGAAAAAAGAAAAAAGTCATTTTTGAAATAGAACAGAACAAAATTTAGTATATCGAATTCAATATTGTAATATATTGGAAATAAATAAATATATAAATGAGACAAGCTTAAATTAACATAAATGTAATTGAGTAATATGATGAAAAACATACGAATTTTCAGATATTATTTTTTTTCTCTTCTTTTGCATATTTTTTAACTTTTCCACTTTTTTTTTGAAGCATAAGACATTAAGCATCATAAATTGGAGTACTTTTCAACATTTATAAAAAACAATTGTAAAAATTTTTGTTTTCATTTTTAAAAATAAAAGTAGCAAAAGTTCCGAAATGTAAAAAAATATTTTAAAAAATAGCGGAAAATTAATTGATTTTTTATATGTAATCATTGAATGCTACAAAGATTATTTTCTATAAATTTTCATCGAATAAAGTAAATATATCAAATAGTATGCTATTTTTTGATACAAATATTGTTGAAAACAAATATTTTCATCGTTTCAATTGATAGAAAAAAAAATGATCGATATAAAAAGGACAAATTAATTTCATTCCTTTATCTTCCATGCATGCACGCTTGAAATATTTTCTTTTTATCTTTGTTAATTACAGTCTGTGCTATGTATGAAATAATATTTAAACTGCTATTGTTAAGCGACAATTTGATGACATCGTATTCATCATAACCATAAGATAAGGAGAGAGAAAGAGTTGAATCTATTACGTGAAACAAGTTATCTATCTTAAAGACAACCGATAGACATTGAATTTTGCTAAATGATATTTACAAGTTTCGAAAAATAAAACTTATGCTTCTGTGCAAACCAAGAAAATATCGCCCATACATCATTATCATTGAAAATCAAACTAATTTCAATATCAAAAATCAAATTTCATATCATTAAATTCTTATGAAATTGAATTAATTTGATCAGAACGAAGGAAAAATTAATCGTTATAATTTTATAAGATTTTATGAAAATTACTACATTACAATTTTCAAATAAGCATATTGCTTTTAAAAATCTTAACATTAAAAACATTATGGTATGCAATTTCTGCATTATTATCAACGTTAGCATAAATTTTAAGCGTAATGGCAAAGATAACAAACATAAAATCATCACAAGATTATCGGATCTATAGAGAACTCTTTCTGTTTCTGTTTTCTTCTCTTTCTCTCTCTTTCTCCCAGAATTTTAGATCATAAAAGAAAATTCTACAAAAACTAAATCTTTTTTTTTTTGATGGATTTACGAAGTTCCAAGTGTTATCTAATATATCATCGAATTTTATCACTTCAACAACTTTATCATCTTTTTTTCTTTCAAAAAAAAAATTTTTTTACACTTAAGAGAGAAAAAATAAATGCACTAAACAAGCGGATCAGATAAAAATGAAAAAGTTAAATGAATTTTAACTATAAAATTGATGTAAGCAACTGTTTTCTCACAGTTTAATAAACCATATCCTTCAATTATCGAATTATTTGAAATATGAGAAATACCGTATTGCTAGCAGAAAAAAAAAAGTCAGTATTACAGTGACCATGTGATAAGTAAATATTTATGATAAAATATGTCCGCTATCTTTGAAAAACTTTTTTTTCTTGAGAGAGAAACGTGATCATGTAAAATTTTTATATTATAAATGAGATGACACATTTATACGATCTATTTCACAAAATAAAAAGTATGTCTTCCAGATAATGTCTGTCCATATTTTTCAATCACAAAATTAGAGATTCATTTACAGCTAGAATTTTAATCGCTTTTCAAATTAACATCATCATTATCATCAATAAAAATAATATTAATTTTTTTTAAAAAAAAAGAACGACAAAAATCAAATCTGCAAATCAATAACATTTATGCTGAAAAAAAAGAATGAAAAAGTGAAGAAATGAAAGAAAAGAGAAAAATATAGGAAATCCCATAAATCTGATATATTAATGAGAAACACCTGCAAGATTATAATGAGATGAAATGATGATGGAACCAGTTTTCGAGAGCAAATAGATATTTTCCTTGCATTTGTTCAAGTCAAGAAGTATTTTAAAAGCAGGAAAAAAAAGTTGAGATTATAGCAAAGAGAGGAAGATAGCAATGAAAATATGAACCAGATAAATTGTTTGAACAGTTAGAATGGAATTTTTTTTTATTTAATGAACAAATTGAAAATTACGAAATGTTGAATTTATGTAAACATTTAACATTGGAATATATATTAAATGAAAGGATAGAATTAAAATCGAAGAAATTATTGTTTTACGCATAGCTTAACTTAAATGATGAATTTTTACTTAAGTAGTAGATTGAGTAATTGGAATGATATGAGAATATACTCACATTATTAAGCTTTTCTTTTTTTTATACAAATTCATTCATTATTATGTAAATGATACGATTATCGTTAATGATAACGATATTCCGAACGATTGTAACAAAGTGATCTGATCGGATCAAAATGATATATTTTCAGAAATTTCAATGTGATACTACAAAGAATGAAAACGAGAGTGCAAAGGAGGAGGGATGAGTGAATTAAAGATGGAACACATATTTGTTCTTAAACTGTTCAGACCAGCCGATCGTTCTTCTTCCTTTTAACAATGGCTACAGCAAGCTGGAAAAAAGAGCTAAAAGAGTGTAATAGAATCTTTTATTCCATTCTATTCCATTCCATTCCATTCCATTCCATTCCATTCCATTC